GGTTTTAAGGGAACAGAAGTAGGAAATGTTGCATAGCATCATGGCAGCATTTTAAGAAAAAAGTACATGGCCGCAAGACAGGGCTGAACCCTAACATTGGGAAGGTTGTCTCCTTCGCAAGCAAATAAAAATGGTTTCAGTGGGGCGTACAGAAAAGGCTTTTCTAGCCAACAAATACAATAGCAGGCATTTTGTGATATACAGTATGCTATTAAGAAGGAACCTTACTCTGTAGAATCTAATCTATATTTACTAAAACTGTTTAATGTGAGAACCCACATAAACAATTTCTATTCAATCAGGCAGGCCCTTACACTACACAAGAAATTGTACAAACCGGTTGCAATGTGTATGGTCAGCCTAAGACTTGAAACAGGCATGTGGCATAAAAGCGCCTTATCTCTGTGATTCCAGGTCAGTTTTTCCAATAGAGTATTGAAATCAAAGCATGATCATGACAGGTCATGGCCAAGGGCAACAAGCCCTTCCAGAAGCAGAGGACAGCAATGGCTTGTATATTTCTATCATGACGAGTTTCTTTTAAAATGACTGATAATTTCACTTTATGATTCGTTTTATGTAGTCAGATAAAGATGTTTGTGGTCTAGAACAGTAGGCTCCAAACTGCAGCTTGGGGGCCAGATGCAACCTTTTCCTTGCGTTTATCTGGCCCTTGGGGCACTATTCATCCCACCAAAATGAGACACTATTCTATCCACTGACACCAGCAATGGGGCATAATTCCTCCTACTGACATCAACAATAGGGAACTATTCCTCCTACTGACATCAACAGTGGAGAACTATTCCTCCTACTGACATCAACAATGGGGAACTATTCCTCCTACTGACATCAACAATGGGGAACTATTCCTCCTACAAACATCAACAATGGGGAACTATTCCTCCTACTGACATCAACAATAGGGAACTATTCCTCCTACTGACATCAACAATGGGGAACTATTCCTCCTACTGACATCAACAATGGGGAACTATTCCTCCTACTGACATCAACAATAGGGAACTATTCCTCCTACTGACATCAACAATGGGGAACTATTCCTCCTACTGACATCAACAATGGGGAAATATTTCTCCTACTGACATCAACAATAGGGAACTATTCCTCCTACTGACATCAACAATGGGGAACTATTCCTCCTACTGACATCAACAATAGGGAACTATTCCTCCTACTGACATCAACAGTGGTGAACTATTCCTCCTACTGACATCAACAATGGGGAACTGTTCCTCCTACTGACATCAACAATGGGGAACTGTTCCTCCTACTGACATCAACAATGGGGAACTATTCCTCCTACTGACATCAACAGTGGTGAACTATTCCTCCTACTGACATCAACAGTGGTGAACTATTCCTCCTACTGACATCAACAATGGGGAACTATTCCTCCTACTGACATCAACAATGGGGAACTATTCCTCCTACTGACATCAACAATAGGGAACTATTCCTCCTACTGACATCAACAATGGGGAACTATTTCTCCTACTGACATCAACAATAGGGAACTATTCCTCCTACTGACATCAACAATGGGGAACTATTCCTACTGACATCAACAGTGGGGAACTATTCCTCCTACTGACATAAACAATGGGGAACTACTCCTTCTACTGACATCAACAATAGGGAACTATTCCTCCTACTGACATAAACAGTGGTGAACTATTCCTCCTACTGACATCAACAATGGGGAACTATTCCTCCTACTGACATCAACAATTGGGAACTATTCCTCCTACTGACATCAATAGTGGTGAACTATTCCTCCTACTGACATCAACAATGGGGAACTATTCCTCCTACTGACATCAACAATGGGGAACTATTCCTCCTACTGACATCAACAATGGGGAACTATTCCTCCTACTGACATCAACAGTGGGGAACTATGCCTCCTACTGTCATCAACAGTGGGGAACTATTCCTCCTACCGACATCAACAGTGGGGAACTACTTCTACTGACATCGACAATGGGGAGCTATTCCTCCTACCGACATGGACAATGGGGAGCTATTCCTCCTACCGACATGAACAATGGGGAGCTATTCCTCCTACCGACATGAACAATGGGGAACTACTCCTCCTACCGACATCAACAATGGTGAACTACTCCTACTGACATCAACAATGGTGAACTACTCCTACTGACATCAACAATGGGTAACTACTCCTCCTACTGACATCAACAATGGGGAACTAGTCCTCCTTACATCAACAATGGGGCACTATTCCTCCCTCTAATAACAAAGATGGGGCACTGTTTACTCCCACTGATGATATAAAAAATTCTATTCCTGTTGCCCACAGCCTGGCCTCACAAAAGTCTGAAGGACAGTAAACTGGCCCTTTTGTTTAGAAAGTTTGGAGGACCCTGGTCTAGAATATTGAGATAGACCTCAACATGTATTTTTATGGACCCCTGTCTGCTCAACATGTATTTTTATAGACCCCTGTCTGCTTGTAAGCTTCTTATAGAATTGTAACAGTTGGTTTTATAGGTTTTGCAATGCAGACAATGTAATACTTTTCTCTGTAGTGTATTATTATGCATATTGTATTACTTCTACTGTATGCTACCACACGGGCTATCAAGTCTGCCTAGCCTGCATTTCCATAGTGACAAAGGGGTTATATTTATGTATAGGAGACGAGAAGTATTTTTATCTTGATGGAAATGAATGGAGATGGTGCAGTATGGATGCTCCATTGTGCACATCCGTCAAATTATCTTGGCGTGTCTGGATACCGCCAAGTTGTGGGACATGCAAATCGGTGGGAGGGCTCAGAGTGACATTAATAGGACACTGCAGCTCCAAAACAAATGACAAGTGGAATTTCATGCAGGCAAGAATCATTTAATTTACTCGATAAATGGTGAAGAGACATGCTTGTATTTTCTATTACACAATATCAGATAAACAGCTGTCTGCATTTGTAGTGGTGAGTGAAATAGAATACATGTACTGTTCTGGCTGACAGGAACACTAGGCTATTCAGGTGTGATGGGAAAGAAGTTTATACATTGTCTGGAGAATTACATAGGGTACAGACAACACAAAAGAAAAAAAAGGTGGAACGCCATTTTTTTTAACTATAAAAAACAAAAAATACAAATATATAAAACACAAAAAGCTTTTGCTGCTTTGCACACCTTCAAGCTAGAGCTGTCCCAGCCAACAGTCTTCAGGCAGCCTGGGCTCAGAATATTGTTGTATTTGTTGGCTTTTACACACCATCATTACATGGGCCCTGTCCAGAGCAGGGCTGTCCTAGATACCCCCCCCCCTTAAATCTTTTGGTTGGCCCAGTGACGTCATTGGTCCTTCCTCTCTTGAGCACTTCTGGGGTCAGAGCTGTTAAAATCCTAGCACATCTGTACAAGCAGATGGGGGTCTTTCTGTTCTTTTGATATGATAAAAAAAAACCCTTTAAAATATGAAATAAATCAATAAAAGATGGAGGCACACACACGGACATGCTACAAATACATACACACATGTAGTCAGGACACACAAAATATCATCTATTACATCCCTGCGCTTGCCAGAGATAGTCATTTTAGAGCTGTCATTTCAGTCAGATTTTTCTGTCACTGTTTTTACCATGTTTACCATAAGTCCAACACATTGAGCACTGCCGCCAATGTGAAAGAGCCCTTAAATTTGCCCAGGCTGGTCAGTAAATGATGGCCATTGTAATAGAAAAATGCCTAAAATCTAGAAATCTGAAAAATTAATCATACCGCACTGACATATGTATAAAAAATCTACACATAATTGGGCTCCCTGGTCTTAAAATGAATAGGAGAAAGTCCTTTTGTGATTTTTCTTTGATATCTTAAATAAGTACATTTTATGTTCAACAAACTAAAACGTTTCCTATTTTGTCCATGATTCCGCTTATTAGAAGAAATGTTCCAAAAAATGGTGAGAAAAAAATGTTGGTGTGCAAAGTGGTTAACACGTTATTATTGAAGAAACTGGTCTCTGCATTGAAAGCCTAATTATAACTTCATATCCTGTGGCATATAACAGTATAATTATAATGTCATATCTGTGACACATACTTGTCACAGTTGCCAAGGTGCATTTGTCAGCTGTCAGTTGAACTTTCAAGCCCTCAAATAGCTGGTGTCATAGATGATCACATGTGCAGCATGACAACTTTATATTTAACCTCTTCACGCTGGCGCCTCCCTGCCCTTTAAGCCCTGTTTCACATGTATGTGACCGTGCGGGCTGCATTTTGCGTGGGCACGAAAGCCAATGCATTTGAATGGACTCCCGTGCCCCGTGACGCGCAAAGCAGAAGTCCCTGAACAACTTCTGAAAACTCAGCCCACACGGGAACCTAGGTTCCCAGTACGGTTGCGTTTTCCAGTGCGGGCGGCATGCCATTAGAACTTTTCGTGCGGATCCGCAGCGGCACCACCCACACAGATGTGAACCTAGCCTAAGGGGTTTCAGATGCTGGGAGGCGAGGCGGGGTTTTAGGATCATGTGACCTCCGTGATTCGCTGTCATGGCGGTCACATGATTGGAAAAGATCCCGGATGCAAGGGGAGATCGGGACCTTTCCGTGAGACACCAACATATATGCTGGGAGCGCGCAGGGCACGCGCTTTCAGCACATCTGTGTTTTCAAATGGTACGCAAATATGCAGCCGCTCAGCGTCAAGGCCCTGCCACTGAGAGCCCGCATATTTGCGTATGGTCGTCCTCAAAATCCAAGGGGTTAAATAGAGGATGGAAAAGGATAGCAGGGTTTATAGCAATTTCTTGTTAAGTTCTTTTAAGTCTGTATCATATGAGGGGCATTCAAGTAAAACCGGGAAACATTTAATTTTACAAGGTATAAAGAGGGATGCTAGCATGACGGTACTACACGCAGTATTATGTGGCAAGTGTGTCCTACTACTGATAGGTGGCGCACATGTCGCAGGCCAGTCCAGAGACCGTTAATCAAGATGGCAGACATCAGTGCTTGTACGTGCATAGAACAGCGTGTGGTGATGAAGTTTCTTGTGAATGAAGGTGTAAAACCTGCGGATATCTACTGAAGACTTCAAGCACCATACGGTGAGACACTTACTGTGCTGTGGTGAGACACCACACACCACAGTAAGACATTTGATTGGTGTAAACGTTTTAAAGATGGCCGTATGTCTATCAGTGACAATCTCAGCCATGGTGGTTCGCAGCCCACAGCAGTCATTCCCGTGAACATTCAACATGTGGAATGCCTGATCCTGGATAATCAACGCATAACCTGTTGTGAAATTGCACAAGAGACGAATCTTTCTGTGGGAACGGTGAACACAATGATGACGAAGTAAAGCAGGCTGTCCTAGGATGGTTCAAGCATACTGACAAATCTTACTATGCAGAAGATTTCCAGGCATTAGTTAAATGCTGGGATAAGTGTATAAATGTAGCAGGAGAGTATGTTGAAAAATAAATGCGGTTTCCACTCTTGAAATTTGTTCTTTAATTAAAAAAACTCAAAAGTCCCGGTTTGACTTGAACTCCCCTCGTACAATGTGATTAGAACACTTTACTTTACCAGTATATGGTACACTTTAGTGTTAGTACTTTACTTAGTTAACTTAAACCCTATTGTGGGTGCACTGTGACCCTACAACAAAGCTGTGCCACTTCAAGCACCCTTGTGTGTTCTTCCCAAGACTCCGACCACAGAAGGTGCAGGCATCCTGTTCAGCCCGATAATAATCACATTCTATAAAGAGCGTGGAGGCCCACACTATAAATCAGCCGATAGTGGAGTGTACAAAGCTGGCTGCAGCTAGTCTCCTCCCATGCCACGGCCTTCTAATGCGTTTCACCCTCCCACAGGCTTAATCCCCTCTATGGAAGAAGACTAGCTCAGGGGCGGACTGACAACTTATGGGGCCTCTGGGCAATAGAGGATCATGGGGCCCCTGTGTCCTCGCCCACACTCAAACCACACCCAAAAAAGCCTATGAAAGGTACCAGGGGCATCTCATGGGGGCCCCATACTGACCCCGGGCCCTCGGGCAGTGCCCGAGTACCCGAATGGTCAGTCCGCCCCTGGACTAGCTGAAGCAAGCTTTGTACTCTCCACTATCAGGCTGATTTATAGTGTGTGGCTCCATGCTCTATTTTGGGAGCGCACACAAACCAAATATTTTGCTGCACAAAAGTTCCAGCAGCACCTTTTTTGCCTTTTTTGATGGATACAAATAGTTGTCAACTAAACTAGATTAAAGGCATCCAGAGTACATTACAATACTTGGAATAACTATTGATATTCTTTGTGGATACGCAAGATTGATGTGAAAGCAATAATAAAAACAGATTGCTTTAATAATTGAACGCATAGCTGCAAAGGGAAATTAAATTAATTTACACTGACCCCTTATGTTATGGTCCTTGTGGATTTACTTTTTTTTTTCTGCTAAGTGGTAACGTTACATAGCTATAATTTTGTATGAATATATGTCCAAAAGAGACATTTTTCGTACGTGCTTAGGTTTGACTGTATTTTCATCCACTGAATATATGTAAATTCCCCTAAATGGCTTTTAAAAATGTGGCTTTTACTGCTTTCTATCACTTGCAGGCTATACTTCTAACACTCTGTGTGAATCCATTTTGTACCTTTATTTTCTTGTTAACTAAAGGGCTTGTGTGGGCAATATAAAACACTCTCAGAACATTTCTAACGGTTAACATTATACGATCAGCATTTTTACACTGTTTATGAGGCCTTTCGCACCTGTCAGTCATTGGGCTCATATCCTGCTGGGCTTTCTTCTGGCATTGGTATAATATGATATAATCACTGGGAGAGCAGACGAGGATGCAGCAGGCATTGCAGTCTAAAGAGAATTTTAAAATGACCCTGTCAAGGAAAAAAAAAAGGAGAAAAAGTTTATCTGCAAAAGCCGAAAGTAAGAGAAATATGGACTTTTTTTTTTTTTATCTCCCTATAATACTTACCTAGGTGGCTGCAGCATCACTCCGATCCTGCATCTGTCCCCCACCAGCTCTGCGGATTGAGCATAATTTATTGGAGTCTGATCCATTATGCTCCCCAATCCGCAGATCCGATCCGATCGCCGGCATGCAACTTATACGGGGGGTGACACCGGACCCGCTCCACGAAAAGGTAAGTTGTAAAGAAAGTCGACGATCCCCGCAGGATGCCATTGTCAGCAATCACATGACCACTGATCACTGCATTCTCACAGAAGCACTGAGCAGAGCAGTGTCACCGCTGTTTGCTCTGCCCCCCCCCCCCCCCGCCGCTCAGTGGAATGCTGGGTTGTGGAGGGGGAGGGTAAGGGAGCGGCTGGCTCAGTTGCTCAGTCTGTCAGCGGATCACTGAGAGGCTGAGCCAGGTGCTGCTCCAGACTCTGGGGTGGATCCTAACTTTTGCAGTCGAGATCTTTCCCCAGCTTGGACCAGCTGAGTGACATCAGCCGACAATGACTGTCAACTGCAAACGGGTCACAGTAGTGCAGAACAAACTGCATTCCCGTGATCCAGAAGAGAAGTACAGCCAAAAGAACTTTGGGTGTACTTCTCCTTAAGTACTTACCTTTCTCACTGCCCATGCCACTGAACACTGAAGGAATCTTCTGCTACTGTCAGCTAAGAAACTTACATTTCCAAACGTGCTGATCTCCTCCCCCAATCAGTGTCCTGTAGTGACTTGGAAGTCAGTGGGATTTGTCACTGAGAGTAATAGGGGTCCAAGGAAATTGATACTCCCAGGAGTGTTGGTTTCTAGGTGGTTTTTAGAGTGGAGTGGCATTCTGTGCCATAGGTATCAGAAGAGGTACTTTCTTCTTTTACAGGTAGACCATTTTTTTTCCCTGTCAGGATCGCTTAAATCACACAGTTAACTGCTTGGAGATTAAATGACACTTCATGACCATAATTATGGGATCACCCTCCTAAATTATTGGGTTAAAATGTTTCTAGTGAAGAGTACCTTCTGACAACAGTTTGGGGCAGGCTATATTTTGTCTCCCCCCAGCGGCCAACTTCATGAAGATAGGGTTTGACAAATTGAGTATTTAGTAACTTGAGTAGTCTTCAGAGCCACATTTGGTTCAAATGGAAATTTCAATTCCAGGTCTTCACATCCAACATCAGACTAGACTAATTCTCTTCTGGCTAGATGACCACAAATTCCCACAGACACACTCCAAAACCTTCTGAGAAGAGTGGACTATGTGAGAGCCCCAAAGGGGGTGCCAACTTCATATTTATGCCCATGGTTTTTGAATAGGATACCCAACAATTTCATGTAGGTGTGTTGGCCAGGTGTCCAGAAAACTTTTGGCCATATATTGTACCTATTGCCCCTTTATTGTGGATTCAGTCTCCCTCCATTTTACTGTAGGAAAGTGGGTTATTGGTATGTGGAAACTGAATCATTTTTTCTTTTTTGGCCAGAACTGCATTCTCTTTATTTACTCTAAATACTGACGTCTTGTCAGATAAAATCACAAATTTAATATTGTGCATTCAGCCTGCCCCAACCCCTTTGCATTTTCACAAGCTCATTTCTTTTTATCTATTGTGCCTTTTCTATTTTAATGCTGCATTTGCATTTCCTTGTAGTAGAATAAAACAACTGTTTATGCATGATTTGGGAGTAATTATAATAATAGCTTTAAGCCGAAATAAAATGTCATGAACATGGCAACTGAGTTGCTGTGCACAAATGGAGATATTGCATATAACTGTAAAGTCACTCCTTCTGTCACATTGCAGTATGTTCCTTGAATCTAACTTTACCCTGTGTTCTTCCTTTGCTGTAAACTTAGGGATGTATTAAGGTGGAGGAGAAGAGGGGACAAGGCTCGTTTTCTGTCTACCAAAAACATAAAATCACTAATGCATTTCAGTTTTATAAATAATTGCAAATAGTAGGACACAGGTCAACCAAGATCAGGACAGTTGGTGTGCTTCATCTCCAGGTGCAAACAGTTGACTTTTTTTGTGTGCAGGCTAAATGTATCTCGCTCCTGGTGGTGCCTGCCTAGACCCTGAACCAACGTCAGATCAATCAGGTAATCCACTCACTTCACATAATCAATCACACATGCCAATACTCTTTAGTTGTGCTCATTCTTCCAACTGACCACAATATAAGGAACAAATATCTGCTGACCACCCATATAAAGGGATGCTTTTCCACTAACTATACAGGTAAGGGGCCCTTACATTTTCACTCTCTGCATTACATTTTTTTTTTACTTTCATAATTTTGACGTAAAATATTTTTGTCATATAGATGAAAGGGTGGTCCCCTGGGTGTTAAATATGCCAGGCACATCACTAACATTGTCAGGTCAGGGTGTATGAAAAAAAAAAAACACATAGATTTGTTTTTCTTGCCTTCCACCATGGGTTGTAGGAAAGAAAATCGCCTAATTCCCCTATGACACCGAGTGTTTCCTGCAGAGCTATTGTGTTCTGCCGGGGGGGGGACAGGTGCCTTGTTGGCCAACAGAACACAATTACTGCTAGCTGCTCAAGTCGCTGGCAGTAATCGCATGTAAAAAAAATCCAACAGGCTGTTTGTACCCAAGTTGATTGATGGATCGACTTGAGAATAATCAGCTTGCCCATACATGGTTCGAAACTTGGCTGGTCCCTGCTGATCTGGCGAGATTTCTATCAATATATGGCCGGCTTTAGAAAAGAGCTGTTTTATCAATGTGCTTCTTAGCTGATCCACTTATTCCATTTACTGAACAAATGTGTGTGTTTCTTTTGTCAACCTGTAAGTAGATAATCTGTGATAAAATTCCATCTATTCAAATATGCTAATTCACAACAATGCAACATGAATATGCATCTCACGGAATATGATATTCCTATGTGTTTATCTTAATTTACAGGGAATGGGACAACTGGGAAATGGGATTACAATCAAATCGCAATTAGCCATCATGTTAGATTGATAGCAGTAACATTTCTACGTCGCTTATTCCAGACGAATTGGCTACATTGACCTAATTCTGCTGAGCGGTTATGCTGAACTTTTATGAGGACATTTTCTGTTTTGTAGGTGTTATTAGACATTTTAGCTCACGGTCATTTGCGTGTGTGTGTAGTTTGGATGGAAACCTGTTAGTTCTCGCACTGTATGCCAAATGAAGTACATAACAGAGGGAGCTTAAACTACGCTATCCACTTGCTGCCTAAGGGAATCCGAAAAAACTCTGTGCCGTATGCAAGGATTTTCTGTAACAGACACTCCCCATCCTTCTGGTGTCTCGGCACCTCGGATTGCCTATTTTCCAAGTTGTGTGATGGCCTATTCTGTCTTTCTACT